GGAGTTTTGGTTTAGCACTATAAAAATCATTGAATCATTATGGTTCAAATCCTCAATACCAAAGAATAATATTACTTCTCAATTACAACATTTTTCTACCCAAACATCATGTTATATGTACGTGAACAATATGATAGTAAGTTTACAAAAATTCAATATACTTTGCAAATTTAGAAAAGAACCAACACTTAATTCTTCTTTTGTAGAGGTTTTTGCCATAAGGACACATGTACTTTGCTAGAGAGAAAGAAAAAGATAGTAAGAGGGAAAGTGAGAAATCACCCCCCAAGGGGGATGGCCACACCGCAATCCCTTCTCCATTCTCCCCTCAGGATCTTAGGCATGCACACACATGCACCTAGTGTGAGATTCAACTCATCGTGTCCAGTTGACTCAAACCTCCCTTGGCCATGTGGGAGTCTAGAGGTCTAACCACTATACCATGTCTTGGCCCCAGTTTTTTAAAAGACTTAAAATATTCCATAGAAATTAAGTTAGAAACATATTAAATAAACAGGTTTTCTGTCTTTACTAATTTTATAAGAATATAATTAATATGTGCTGTAAACACTTTAAATCAATGAACGATAAACAAACAAAAATATTGTCACAAAACTTTAACAGCAGAGTTGTTTCAAGTCAAATGTTTTATAACTTTCAAAAAAAAAAGGATGAGGATAGATTTGTTCTTTAACCAAAATGATTAAAAAGTAAATACAAAATTTCAATAAACTGTCCAGTTTGTTACATGACCTATTTTTTCCCCCACAATCTTTCCAAAAAACAATTTCAGTTTAGTGTTTGCATTCTCATCCTAACTTGAATTTTCAAGGGAGTTGAATCTTCTTCACTTTTGGAAAATCAATATCTCCTTATACCAAATTCCCCTTATAGTTAGAACTGATCTTAATGGACATCAGCAATGTAACAACTATAAGGATCAACTTTTATTCAGGAATGTACAGGGTTTTTTCACCAGCATTCTCGTAAATATAGCTACCATATCATTTCTGTTTTTCATGTGATTTTCTTGTTTTCTGCTGATAATTAAGTCAAGTTGTTTAAGCTTTCCAATGTCTTTGACAAGGTCTCCCCACAATCCAATTCTAAATTAAGTTATTTAATTCAAAATAATGATGAGATGTTTATGGATGTTCTTTGAAATATCGAAAAGAGAGATGTTAGAATGAATCAGGCTTAAGTGTTAAATGGAGCTTTGTCAAATTGGGTAATGTTTAAATTTTTGGCATTATATTTGAGTTACATGTATAAAAATGTTTTGCATATATGTATATATGTGTCTATTTATACATATACTGTGTTTCAAAATGATTTGAGAGTCTCAGGAGTCTACAGGTGGTATTTTTCAGTCATGTTTTAAGCTATTATGTTAAACTGGTGTATGTCATAGATACGGCTAAATTTCTTTGTCAATTGTAAATTATCATTAGATCTTTATCCATGGTTGGTTCAAGTATTATTGTTGATGGCTAATTGCTTTGTTTGATGCTTTTCTAAAAGCATTTTACAAATGACTGTAATCCCAAGTATTATATCAAGGAAATTTCATAAAAAGAATGGAAAGGGCTGTGATGAGTACAGTTTCTGATAACCTAATCATTGAACTGAGTAAACATTTCCAATTTCAATGGAGAAACTGATTGGGTTTCTGAACTGCTAAACCAACATTAAGCAGAACCAGAATTAACCAAAAGCAAAGAAATCTTTTCACAGAATTTCATGATAAATCAGCCAGATACTAAAATTGTTAAGCTGTATATCAATTCCTGGCCCATTGTCTAAGATCAAATATAAATTGTTAAGATCTGTAATTTGAATGAACTCTACAAGATTGATCTAAATCAAATTACCTATGATAATCTTTTTTGTTTTGTTTGAGAAAGATTTTTGCTATAGGGCATGTGCCCTTGTCAGAGAAAGAGAGAGACAGAAATACAGAAAATGAGAAATCAGCCTCCATGGGGGATGGTCAGGCCTCAATCCCTTCTCCATTCTCCTCTTGGTATTTTGGGCATACACACACAGGTGCCTGGCATGAGTTTTAAGCTGCAGGGCTAGGACTCAAAACACAGTTAATTACATAAGAGTCCAGCAATGTAACCATAACACCATCTGCTGGTCCCAACAGTCTTTTTAATAAGCAATACTAAGCACCTGAATTGAAGAAGAAAAACTGATATCTAAAAGGACGTAATTCCAATGTTAAACATGAACTCATAAAGGCTTGGACAGCTGCCTGAGTCTTCCTGCATCCTCGATAAAGCTTATTAAAATGTTCCACATTCCATGATTCATGGAATAGATGAAAGAATTCAGATTTTAAAAAAACTGATTGTGAACTCTATGCTGCAAACGTCTACAATAATGACAGAGAGTGGCACCAATGCCCTAAGTTTCGGTCAATCTCTCAAAATTGAGAAACTGCCCAAAAGGGGGTCTGAGAAAACCTTCATAATTCCTGCTCTAGTTTCCATAAGCAAACCACAACTTCACATGGAAGTCTGCTTCCTTAGTAAGTTGCAAAGTTACAGCCAATCACAGCGGCTACACCTCAGTCACAGACAACCCAGCTCTTAAACCATGCCCACGCAGGCAAATATTAGGATGTCACCAATCAGTTATTTCTTTGCCTCATTTCCTCACTTGCATTTTTTGTACCTCACTTTCCCTTTTTGATATGTTACCTCACCATGTGGCTATCCCAAGTTCCTTGGAAGCCATTCTGGGGCTGCCCAATTCAAATCATGGTTTTTGCTCCATTAAACTCTGCTAAATTAAATTGTCTGAAGTTCTTTTAACACTGTGAATAGAGATATTAAATACGGCACAAGTAGCATAAAGAGATTAACACATTTTACAGTGTTTGTACCCAAAGTGAGTATTTTTCTAGTTTAAAACTCACCATTTTCAGTTTTTATTTTTCACTTTTCAATCTATGTGTTAACTGTTCATTGAGAAAGTAGGGCACGCACATGATAAAAAAGTAGTTTTAAAAAATGCTTAACTCTTCTACCCCCTTCAGTTATTTACTCCATTCTCCCCTCTCCAGAAGCAGTGACTGTTAGCAATTTCTTGGCTCTCCTTCCTAAACAAACGAATGTAATTACAATTGTGAAACATCTCAGAAATATATATTCACAGTTAGTAAGATTAACATAATTTCAAATTCCCAGGCTCATACTATAACTTCAGAGGTTGTATTCTTGCTTCCCTACAGCTCAACTACAGGAATTTCACATGGTAAAGTGCTTTCAAATGGATAAAGTGCAACTCAAGAGAAAGGTTCTAAGGCATTGCCTTTGAACTGCAAATGAAGCCACCTGGAGGTTCTGAGCATAAAAGGAATAAGCCTATCATAGGCTTTCTGCCACTCTCCCTTTACTTCACAAGATGGAACTCATACACTGGCTCACAGATAACCTGGAAGAGGACAATAGGACAAGGTGGAAGTTGCTTAAGCACCATCGTTTTGCATCTAGACAAATACCTGACCCAACACTTGGTATGACCTGAAGCAGAGCTGCTATAAAAATGTAATTCTCCTTTAACCTCTCCATGTAAATCATCAGAAAACTTCCCTGCACTGATTTAAACAAATTTGGTCTTTGACCCCTAGAGTCAGAATTGGCTTCAACAACTCTTTCAGCTGGTTGTAGTATTGAGTGTTTGATGTATGTCAACTATTATAAAACACAGTACTATTTCATGACAGATCTTCAAATAATGCCATCTATGTCCAAAGTCGGGGTAACAGTCTCTTTATCCCAATAACTCAATAACATTAAAATACTGCAGATTAATGAAATAATGCACCTTATTGTATCAAGATTTGGCTGTAATGCAGTAGTGATTTGTGGTGTCCTTCAACCGGTCGCAACACCTGCCAACCTGCTTCCTATAGTAACTTCAAAAGGCTTCCAATAAATTCCAAATGCTTGAAAGGGTCTTGTATGTGTAAGTAATTTTTTCCTGGGTCCGTGATTTTTGATTTTTTGCAATGTGATCAGCAAAATTGTTTATAAACCCATCAATTGCTTAATGAGCTTTCTGCAGACATTCAAGTCTGACGATTTAAGATGCCACAGAAGTCCCAGCAATTATATTTGTTCAGGATTCTGGGAAAAAATAATACTAACAATATATTGAACAACCTTAAATAAAACCTAAACTTGAAAATTAAAGCAAATTTTCCAGTCAAATTTGTTTTATAATTTCTGTGAATATTAAATGTGTTCAAGGAATTCTTCTTGGGAAAAACATAGATATATATACATGTATGCCCGCATATGTGTATATATTTTTTATATATGTATAAATTTCTATCTCTAAATTAAAATAAATTTCAACATCTTTTGATAGGTAATGTTTAATAAACTGTAATACAGGAAGATATTGTATTGAATATAGTATTAAAATGTTTTGGTACTTAATAGTTCAAAAAATAGTTTTATTTAATTGAGACCAACTGGCCTCATTGCTTCTTATAAACTTTGCAATATATATTCAGTAAAAAGGAATAAAAATGAACAGATGTTTCTCTTTAAAGAAGGCAGACAAAGATTTTTCTTACACAATAAATCAGCAGCTAGTGGATTTCCAGGACATGGCTTCAGCCAAACTATTTAG